TATAACGGGAGGGAAATGCATCAATGGCGTCAATTTTATATTGTCAACTGCTGGTTTGACTATTTTGACAGACTTAATGGTTCTATGCATTCCAATCTATATGGTAAAGGATCTCAAATTGAATCCACGAAAAAAGGCTGCAGCAATCTTCATTTTATGCATGGGCTTGGGGTATTGATCATTGTTCCCCTTTTGTGTTCGTCACGAGCTAACGCTTCTTTTCAAGTGTTACTGCTATCGGAATCTGTCGTCTTTTCTTCACTTACCGTGCATTCTACCCCGATGCCCCTGACCCGGGACTAAATGTTAACAGCACCATATCTCAAATCGAGACTGGTCTTGCATTGGTTATAGGCTGCGTTCCGGATATTCTGCCTCTTGTTCGACTAATGATACCTGGCTTCTTTAATTTTGCGACCAGACAATCAACTCATCCAGCTCGGTATCCTTACCCCTCAACTTTCGGTTCCAAAAGAAAGCCGGAAGGCCGAAGCGACATTCTCAAAAACACCATGTACGAAGAACATGGACTAGACGATTTGAAGTTACGTCCCAATAACGGGTTGGTACAACGTGAGACGCAAGTCAGAGGTGCTGCGAGTACCGATAGCTTGACTGGTAGTCAAATAGAAATGTTCGACAAAACTATGGACGAAAAGACGGATTCAAAGACAATTATAAAGACAACACATTTCTCGATGAAAGAATCGGACCTAAATGATCCAAGGAACACTTGGAGTAATGTCTGACTTAGTCAACAAGATTACTTTTGAACTTCTTTGTTTTGGCTTGTTGGTTATGGAGTCGAAAGGGTATTTAGCCTGTATGTTTTAGAGCCTGCGAGAAAATCATCGTGTCAAGACTTTTGCGGATTTTGTATGCCGTAAAGGTCATGACTCATGTCTATTCTATATTTGGCCACATTGCATGATTGTATGGCAATATATGTATTGTATAAATGTTATACAGTCATGTAATTTTGAGGTCTTTCGATGCTGAAAGGCGCGTGGGGGTCACAAGGAGTTTTCCCCTTGGTTTCTATACTCCCAGAGACACAGGATGTACAGCAACATGTGCAGTACACACCACAATATTAACAGCCAGGAGCGATTACTTTGAAAAGAATGACGAGGAGTATGGTAGAAACTTAGTATGTACCATCAACTCGCCTTAAAGCGCATGTAGCTTCTTGCCATTTGGTTGCATGCATGGAGAAACACTGTAACCAAATCTATTCCCTTCTTTTGGTGCCTCAAAATACTATGCGACTATAACCAGCCGCTTCTCTCCTTTCTGTTTTTCCTTCCGATCCGAGAGAAATCCCACCAATAGGGGTAATGATCTACGACATTACCCCAAAGTTGTGTTGTCAGCTGCGGGGAGCTGCACACAACTGCATTTGAGGCTGGCTTGGCACATATGAAAGAACCAACGACCAGATATTTACGAGACCGACGACTTGGAAAGTTTTTCTGGTGTAGTAAAGTTCACGTCTGCAGGAAGAACATTTTTAAATACATTCCGTCATGGAGCAACAAATTCCGTTTGCCAACACTTTTACCCCGCAGTCTGTCTTGGATGGATTCTGAAGACCCCGGATAATCAAGAGAGAGTTGGATTGGAATATCCACGTAAAACTTATAAAATGTACTTGGTCCAGCGTGTGAGTGAAGTTATCCTGGAAACTCATCTCTGGCAATTGATCAGCCTTTGCATATCCACTTAATATTTAACGTTGAAATTGAAAATCAGAACCCTCCAAACAATTGCCACAGTCAAAGTGTGCATGGTGATATTCCTCGAGATTTCAAAATCCAACTGACTTCCACCATGAAGTTGTTAGAACTTACTGCCGTGATATCTTCACTGGTTTCCCTTGCTCGAGCTGGCAATGGCAATGGCAACGGCCATGAAACAGCAAAAATCTGCACAATACCCTCGAAATACAAATCCTCAAATGGAACAGCCGACGACTCACCAGCGGTAGCTGCCGCATTTGTCAAGTGCTCCTCAAACTCAATTATTGAGTTCAAGAAAGGTGTCGATTACAACATCTTCAGCCCAATCTCCGCAAAGAACTTGTCAAATGTGATCATTCGTCAAGAAGGCAATCTTCATCTTCCCCAAAATATCACCTATATCCAAAACCTTGTCACAACCTCCAATGCACTTACATATACCACCGCTTTGTACTGGTTTGCATTTGCCGGTCCCAAGATTCAGTATGAAGGATCAAAAGACATTACGACCGGGTGGATAAACTCGTATGGCCAAGCATGGTGGGACGCGAATCCCGTCAATGGGACTGGTCTTGCCAATCGACCACATCTTTTCCAACTGAACACTACCAATGGCGGTATGAATTATTTCAAATCACGCAAGCCAATAGCGTGGAATGTTCAACTTCTAGGAAGTAATATCCGAGTCAAAAATAGCATCATCGACTCCTTCTCTACGGGTTCCGGTTTTCCATTCAATACCGATGGATTTGGTGTCACAGCTACAAACGTTCACATTTCTGATTCCATCATATACAATGGAGACGATGCATGTGCTGTTCAATCTGGTTCTCACAACGTTCTTTTTGAGAAGGCAACAATCGGGTATCAATCTCATGGCTTGTCCATTGGCTCTCTTGGACAGAATCAAGCTTCATTTGCCAATGTATCGAACATCCATTTTCGTGATATCACAGTTGTTGATGCAGTCTATGCTGCCCGATTCAAGAGTTGGATTGGAGGTCAAGGAATCGCAAAAAATATCACATGGGAAGATATCCGCGTGTACAATGTTTCATTCCCGATTTTTGTCACCCAAACATACTACAATCAAGGATCTAATGCGACTCAGCTCGAACCTGGCCAAATCAGTGGACGCCCGAACAACGCGAGTGTCAATATGGAGGATTTCACGTGGAAAAACTTTCGAGGAACAATTAATACCTTTGAGCCTGGAGATGGTACTTGTGTTTCAGACCCGTGCTGGTACGATGCTGGATTGCCAAATTTGCAGCAGACAGAAACTATTATCATCGAGTGCAATACCGAGAGTTCTTGCAAGAACTTCAATTTGGAGAATATTGAGATCTATCCGCAGGACTACAGAAACCCAACGGTGATCTGTATCAATGCTACGAGTACGTTGAATCCAGATCTGGGATTCAATTGTGCCAATGGAACGTTTGTTCCTTTGAGTTGAGGTGGGATTTAGAGATGAGAATATGATAGGCTAATATTTACTGAGAGATTAACATTTTCCATGTACTGGTGACTCAGGAAAATGACTTCGTTCTATCAATGTGATCTCACCCCCCACAGACATCTTTCCAAGTGTTTCAAGTATGAGCCTCAGAGATGTATTGCATTCTTCAAGCCCGCATTCATTTTGGATGATACCCACGGGCCTGTCGAGGAGGTATAGATATGGAGCGTCATCACATATAGACACGGTATATCAAGACATTCATGTGATGCACAAGTTCCAACTCTGTCATTGAAGCAACCGAAGTTTTCCCATTGAATCAACTAACTAATTATTAATGTTTGGATGATGAATTATGGAGGTAAATGAAGGAGAACCTGATGGAGGTAGATTTCCTTCCTGTGCTCAAATATCTCCTGTAAGTATTCTAGATAGGGCTGAGGTCATGCATCGTTAGCATCCCGATTCGATCGAATAAGCTTTGGGATGTATTCCCTGTCTCTCAGCTTTTCGATGACTGCACAGAAAAGTATATCCAAAACTCAAAATCCAAAACCCAAATTTGGCGTCACCAAGGACAAAAAGTGGCGGGGCGCCAAGACGTTTCATAGAAAGCAGTTGGCGAAAAAGGAACGAAATCAAAGTTGTTTTTCAAGGGGTTGTGGTGGCCTCTGCTCACAGCATTTTTTACCCCTTCATTTTCGAGAAAAATACTTTGGGATCTCGACGGTAAGAAACTACATTGAGAATATCGAAAAGCAACATTCTTTTAATGACATTGATATAAGTGGACATGACAAGATATTTTTTATGTGTGCCCAAGGTTGTTATCAGAAAATTACAAATTCCAGGCAATTTTTCACCCTTTTATTTCATACCCTCGAGACTTTCTTTCCCACTTCTTCAAGACGCAAGCTTTTACCATCAAGCTAATTGGGAAGCCACAGTTACCAGTGCACCAAATAAATTGCATTTTTCCCAGATGAGGCTTGACTTCAGATGAATTTGGTAGAAAGGAAATGAAGGTTTAATATATATATTGGGTTAATGCTGGCCATCGTTCTGCAAGGATTGGGCCAATGGAGCTTCATGCTTATCCGAATGAAACGTTTTGTTCCTCGCATCAAGCGACTAAACTTGATTGATACACTACCAGCATAGCCTTCAACATTAAGATAAATGAAATGGTGACTTAAGTTAAGAGATTAACAAGGTACTATTCATTGATATCAGATAGGTGATTGAACGACTAGTTCGAAGAATGTCCAGCATAACAATCTATGAAATTATTCAATCGGCTGGATGATCGTTGTCGCAGTATCAAAATCAAACCACAGTATCGAATGAGAGAATGAACAGAATTTCAACAGCGCGTCTATCTTCTTTTATCTATTCGCTGGAAAAATGTGGAGTAGAATCTGTGAATCGTATATCTCACACATCTTCTAATGGAAGATCACCAAATCAAGGTTGGCAAACGAAACGTTCATCTAAAGATCTTGTTTCTCTGAAACGGACAAGGGTATCATTTCGATTCTCCCAGGACTAGCATCATATATCGAATCGATTTATGGCGCGTGCTTTTCAGTTCTATATATTGAGTTGGCTCTCATGATGGTAATTTTCCCTTCCTCTGTTCTTTCTCTCCAAGTCAGTCTTGTTAGTTCGTCATCTTTTTTTCACTCTCTTAACTTTCTCTAAATACATTCATTTCAAAGTGTGATCTGTGATCCACGACATTCATTTTTGAAAATTTACGCCCATTTCCACCACAAATTCCCACACAAAATTCTATCAAGATGTTTTCCAAATCTATCATCGCCGCTTCCCTCCTCACTGCAGTCACTGCTCATCAAAACTTCCATCAATTTTGGGTCAATGGAGTTTCTCCAGGATATCAAGTCTCTATCCGCATGCCACCTTCCAACTCTCCAGTTCTCGATGTAGCATCCGATAACATCACCTGTAACGTCAATGGAAACGTTGTCCCATCAGGTGTCAACACAACCGCCGCAAACGAGGGAGATGCCATCACAGTTCAATGGGATTCCTCTACCCATCCAGGACCTATTCAACATTATCTTTTCGGTCCCGTTGATGATGCGTCCATGGCTACTGGTATCGGTTCATGGTTCAAGATTGATGAGTATATTGAGGTCAACGGTACTTGGGCCTCCAACCTCATGGATGCTGGAAACATGAGCTACACTTTCAACCTTCCTACCGGAATGGCAACTGGTGAATACTTGGTAAGTTCTACTATTTTCATCTTTTATACTTCTTCATAAACTAACATATTATCACACAGCTCCGTTCAGAGATGCTTGCTCTTCACTCCGCCCAGACTGTCGGAGGTGCTCAATGGTACATTGGATGTGCTCAACTTTCTATCACCGGTACTAGTGGAGATTCATGCGGACCATCCATCGAGCTTCCAGGTGATTACAACGCTACCGACCCAAGTATTTACATCCCAGATATTTACTATGGTTTTGACATCTCCACCTACACACCTCCCGGAGGAGCCATTGCCACTTGTGGTGCCGCCGGAGCTGGAGCCACGGGTGCAGCCAGCGCCACGGCCATTGCAACATCTGCTGTTTCCAGTGCCGTTGCATCATCAAGCGCCGCAGCTGTTTCGAGTGCGGTAATTGAATCAAGCTCAATCGCCTCATCCGTAGAGGTCTCGTCCAGTGCGGTACTTCCAACAAGCTCTGTAGCCGCCATTGTAACTTCCGCCCCAAGCACTCTCGTAACAGCCACCTCCGCACCAGCAGCCACTAGCTCAGCAGTTGAGGTTGGTGATGATGAGTGTGAAGCATAAATTTGACGAGGATATGTATTAAGTGGGGGAAACGTGTTTGGATTCTTTTGTACATATATCTAAATCTATTCACTGTATATGAGTAGACTTGGCACTTGCCATTGTACAAATAGAGACTCATTGAGCTTTAAGTTTTGAGTTGTTATTAATTGTGAAGTGCATTACCTTGGTGTCGAAACTTAAACTGACTTGAGCACATCTAATGACTTCATTCTCGGGCGTCAGTATAGACAATCGAAATTCCTGCCGCGTCTCAAAAATACAAGGATCAGCTCATTACTCAGAATGCATCCTTCTTGCAACCCGAATAAGTACCCTTTGTAAATTCATATCACTTCCCGCAGCCGATGATCCCTTCCTATCCATTCCCTTTGCCACTTCTACTAAAGTCTCTCCCAAAAGTCCACCAATATCCTCCCCCAATCTTGCCATAACTTTATTCCATTCCCTCTTATTTCGCTCGTAGGCGTCGACTATAATCTTGACATTCTGGTCGAGACTATCTTGACACTCTTGTGCACCACTTGTATTGCCAGCTCGAGTTTCCTTGCGAAATACACGTAGTAGTTCGCTTGTTTGATGGAGAACGGGTTGGACGATGGCTTGGTGGTCTTTTTCGATCTGTTCGAGCTCTGAGTAGTAGGGGGTTGCTTGGAGGATAAGCACGATTTGTTGGTAAGTTTTATCTGACATTGTGATTGATAGTGTATCGTAGCTTTAAAAGTTCAAAATCGCCAGGGTGTATTTTTCGTTGGGTGTTGTTTATTGCTTTTGGTGGTCTGGTGCGTTGAGGATAAGGGATCCGTGATATGAAGGAACAATGTGCAATGGTTCAAAGTCCATTACTTATTTCACTAATGGCTGGATATCGTCTCGACACTTTTACTAATCAACAATTCGAAGAATATTGTTATTCTCGAATCTTGAAACTTCCGATAGCAACCCGGGATATCTGCTGAGCTAGACTTCATGATTGAGCTCTTGGTTATCCAATCATGAATTTTTTCTACCATGCCGAATGCTAGGGAAGTGAATGGCTCAAGGATAATTCACGGCATTCACTCGAATTGCTTGCCTCTACGGTGCTACAAAGTGAATAGTTGTATCGACGGTTTCATATGTGAACGGTACGGCTTCAATTTCAATCCAAGACCGTATTTTCTAATCATAGACTCGTACCGTATATGGTCGAGCCTGTTTAAGTTATAAGTTATGTCTTTCTTCCAGACACCCAATCCAACACCATCGTCTACATTGATCACCTCAAAAGAATTCAAAGTCAATCCGACCTCCGATTGTCTCAACACCTACATCATAAACCCACATTTTGGATGCAGGAGCTCTGCATCATGAATCCCAATAACGCTTCTGAGAAAAGCGCAGCTGACCAGGTAATTCAAATCCCTCTTGAACACAATGCACATCATGATTTACAACAAGCTGACAGAAATTGTAGCTCGCCACATTGGCTATACCTCAGCAAATGAACGGTTCAACCTCAAGTACTCAACACCAAGATAGGAATTTCAATGAACAAAATTGTAGCCTAGGTGCCATCGATCAGATCGCACATACTGAAGAGGTCGTGGGGCAGGATACCAAAGTCGACGTGAGAAATAAAGATGCGCCCGCACTTAAGTCCGCCCCGGAAACCTTTGAACAATTTCGAGATCTGCCGACAGAATTAAGGTTGAGGATATGGAAGTTTGCAGGTTTGCAGCCACGAATTATTCATGTTACCAACTACAACAACACGTGGCCAGAAAACATCTATCTTTGTCCAAGTATGCCCCAGCAGTGTCCTTTGACAATGACGTGTATAGAGTCGCGTGGTGTGGTGCTGAAATTTAAGAAGCCCCTGCAAGGTCTCGTTTTAAGATCGAAGACTTACATGGAGGATGCTGAGAGAAGAGGTCCTTACACCCCTGGGACGGAATTAGACAGTCAAAATTTTGGCCAAGTCGAAGCCGAAATGCTACGAAGAGAACAACCAATCATATATGCCAATCTTGATATCGACGTAATCTGGCCTCATACGGGAGAATGTTGGACAGATATGGTTCACCCTTTGGGAGGGGTTTATAGGGATCCCGGGATGAAGCGGATCATAGTACCAAAGAATAAGCACAACTACCCTGCGAAAGTTGTAGGTGTAATGCCTCGCCTACTCGACAATCGGTCTCTTGGTGTCTATCAATGGGCTAAATCTCTGGATGCCCAAGAGCTTTATTTTCTCCAGGACGACGAAGATTTCAGTATCATCGAAGAAAGCACTCAGGTATCACATCCATGTGATGGATTTGTATCAGAAGCATCTCTTACCCAACTAGTATGGGGAGGGGATGAGATGCGAGGATCATTAGAGGACATTCATGAGGCCCACAAGAAAGGCTTCAACGATTCCCGCAACTTTACGATAAGATGTTTCCAACAGGATCTAGTCAAATCAGGTATGATCAACTCCCACCTTTCCAATCACTTCTTGAAGCCCAATGTAACTAATGAACTTTCAGGACGTCTTGATGGCGAAGATCAACGCGAATTACAAAGACTACTGGCCTGGGAACCACCAAAGATTAAGTACATCAAAGAATCACAGATCAAGGATATTCTATGATAGAGATCGTTTTACACTTACCGCAGGGAGTAAGGCTATAGAGTCACTCCAGAGATATGGTTTCCAATACTTCGGACTGCAAGCTGACAGTAAGATGCTTGTCAATTATTGATTCTGTTGGGAACGGTTGAATCTTTTGAGAAGATGAGCTAGCTTGGCCGAATGAACGCTTCCTCTGACTCATGGTGATCTTATACTCGGATCACAAACCAAGCCACTAAGCTATATATCCTAGTAGAGTTTTAATCAAAATTCTGAGTTCATATTGAAGAATGCATCTACGTGATTGATATATTTGCATCTGTTTGACCACTCTGTCTTGCACCCACTAATGTACATCTCAAAAGCTTTATCAGTATGTCCAACTGAATAACCAGCCGATGTACTCATTGAACTTCCTTGAATTCTCAAAGTCCACAACAGTTTATATGTAAAAGACAGAGAGTAAATCAGTGTAGTAAAAATGAAATACGACACAAGAAATATAGCGAGTTGGATGAAATTTGCAATATTGCTACATAACCTATGCATAGGGGTATCACTTCGCTCCTGTCCCGCGCTCAAATAGACTTTTTATATCAAACATTTCCTGTCATCTAACAAATATCAAGTATATGTATGCCCTGCATGATCAGATCAAAATAGAAGGGGAATAATGGGGAATCCGACGTGTATAATGATCTGTGTGAGTGGGCACCCTACAGCAACCCACTCCACCCGCGCTCCGTTTACAGCAACTCCACGACCAATCGCTAAGACAATGGGATGGTCCGTAAATAGTCAACATTTCGTCGACAGATTTTCCTTCATAACATCTCTCACCATGCTGTTCGACGAGCTTTGGAAGGGTTCGCGGGTGTAATGTTTTTGCCCCTAAAGTAAAATCATATCAATATTGCGCAACAGGTTAAGAGAATAAAATCGAATACTAACCAGGATGATATCGACACGGTCCATCGGCATCTTGGGATCTAATGTCTTTGAAACAATGCCCACATTTACCGCCTTCAAATTTGGAGGATTTTCTCTCCAATCCTAGTTCCTCCAAAGTTGGATTAAGCTTCCGCTTCTTCGACGATGATGATACACCAGCGACTGATTGGCTTCGAGTTGTTCCGTTCAAAACTTCGTCATTCACATCTGCCAAAACTTTCCGAGCTAATGGAACTTTTTCTCGATCTCTCGTCAAGTCCCTCTCATGAGTTAAAGTCCTCTCCATAACTTCCCTTAACCTTTTCTCAATCTCGAGTGCTTTTTCCAAACCTTTCGACTTCTTTTTCTCTCTTTCTAGTGCTTCTACGGCAGCATCCTTGACGGCATTCGTTGAGGAAGCGCGCGTGTCCACTTCCGTATATTTCATTTGTTGATCGGCAAATTGCTCCTTAAACCACTGAGATCTAACCTTTTCCTCTTTCAAAGCCTTTTTTAGATCCTCGGAGATTCCCATTAAGGCAGCCTGAGGGATTTTATCCGGCTGAAATATAGGTGTTCCACTGCTTGATTGAAACTGTCTCTGATGGTCTAATAGACCTTTGAGTCTTTTCGTTTCTTTTCTCTCATCGCCCAACTGCTTTTGAATTGTCTCAATGTATCTTCTGCCCGTTTTTGAAGCTTGGTCTGCACTATCTTTTTGGGGCATCAATTCTGGCAGAGTGTTCTGGGCGTTCATAGTCTTAGCTTGAATTTCCCTCATCTGTTGTTGCAAGGTCTCGACCTGATTCCATTCATTTTGATAATTATTTGTGACATTCTTTATCTCCTCTTTCGCTGCCTCTAATTCTTGCAGCAACACCGCAGTTCGTTTCTTTTCTATTATCAATGCTTCTTCCAGAGGGCTCTTCTTCTGCAAGGTATCCTCATCATCACTCACCAAGTCAATGACCAACCCCTTCCCTGGTATAATTCGTTCCTTTCTCGAATTAATAGACATTCCTTTCCGGTCCATCGACTTTCCATCTACCTTATCATTATTCAAGAGTCCCTTAGTACTCCATCCCTCCTCTTTCTCCTCTTCGACATATTTGTCACCAAGCAAAAATCTTAGAGTAGTCGTTCGCATGTGCGGATACAAATTTCCGGCAGCTCTGAGTAATGCTTTGAGGGATTCGACATCTGCATCTTTGAGAGCAGACTCTAGAGACTGGGATCGAGGAAGTGCTTGTAGCTTTGACTGAGGAGCTGGGGTCGAGATCGAGGAGCCTAGTCTAGAGGGTGTTCGAAGAAATGGAGAGGCATTTGATGGCGTAACGGGAGTCAGTGGGTAATGATCCAGAGGAGGCAGTTTTGGCTGAGATTGAGTGGAAAATTGAGGATGGTGTTGGGTATTGTGTCTACCAATCTCGGGCGCAAATGGTGGTAACTGATGTTGCGTTGGGAATCCATTGGGATTTGTGTATGGACTGGGGTCAATTGAAGCTTGCATGGTGGATGTCCACCTTGGTGCCGGCTGAGGAGGATAATGTTTTTGCGAACCAAGATTGCCTGAGAATATCGGACTTGGCGAAGGAAATTCTGACTGCCGTAAAGAAGAATTGGAGAGGTTTGAATAACGGGTGTGGAATAACGAAGGATTGACCTGATCTTGCTAAGATACAGGTTGCCCTGCACGATTCAATTGCACGGCCTTCCTTGACATTTGTCCAAAGCAAAAGGTCCCGAGGCCATCAGTGTCTAGGTTAGTTCGAGGGTTGTTTTGCTAGAGGAGTATGACAGAAGAACGGTTCGAGTAGGGGTCCAGGAAGACGCGTTGGCGGGGAATCGCGATTTTCTCGATAAGCTGCTGCTGGGGATGGCGCGTAAACGCTTATCGGCACGTGATCTGTATCCTTTTCATGTGTTTTTGGTCAAGATACCACATCCCACTATCATTTCCAAGAATTGTAACTTGGATAAACATATCACAGCAAACATGTATCAAGTGTCTGATAATTCTTCTCGTTGGATGGATCTGATTGTGATTGGCTTACGCGGAGGGTTGACCAGATTTGGAACATATCACATCGTGCTTACTCTAAGATGGGTTGATCTGGCGCTACCACTGTCACAATGAATTAAGAATGCGCCCCTCGCCATATCAAGCTGTCAGGTACCATATCGAACATTGTTGGTAGAAACCCGCTGCGAGAATCTGTCACTAGGTATTGTCAGTTCAAAGAGTTCAAGACTCTCTTTAACACCCCTTATCTAGTTTTAATCAATTCTCTCGTCTCAAGAATGGGGGCAGAAACCACAAATCCGAAGCTGAATGTTGCTATCATCGGTGGCGGTCTTGGTGGACTTGCTCTCAGTATTGGACTCCTTCCTTATCGTGATGCCCTCAATATCACAATTTACGAAGCAGCTCCTAAGTTTGCAGAAATAGGGGCAGGAATTGCATCTGGTCCTAACGCAGTGAATGCTCTAAATCTGATCTCTCCCGATATCCTCAGAGGTTACAGGAAATGTGCAACGTTTAACGAAACCCGTGATCACGATAACGCATGGTTAACTTTTCGGTATGGAACGAATAGTAAAACTGGTGATGGCAAGAAAATGGACTTGATTCATCATGTTGGAGAGAAGGGAAAACCTCTGGGAGACATTTCGAAAATGCTGATAAGAGAGGAGGTTAGAAGGAGAAGTTGCGTGCATAGGGCTAGGTTCTTGGATGAAATGGCAGCGTTGATTCCAGACGGAATGGCGAAATTCAAGAAAAGTCTAGCGAGCGTTGAAGACCCGGAGGAAGACAACAAAGGGTTGAAGTTGACGTTTGAAGATGGTGAAACAGTTCTCGCTGATGTAGTGATTGGCTGTGATGGAATCAAGAGTGTCACGAGGAAGTTCGTCATGAGAAACCAATCAATCGAACCGAAATTTTCAAACACCTACGCGTATCGAGCTATGGTTCCCAGAGATATTGCCAGGGAAGCAATAGGAGATGTCTTAGCACTAAATGGCCAATCATACCTTGGATATGATAGATATATGATTAGTTACCCAGTTGAGCATGGGAACTTGATCAACATCGTTGCATTGAAGATAACGAAAGATGTCGAATGGGATGAGAAAAATTGGTTGATGCCTGCTACTAAAGAAGAGATGGCGTCCGATTTAGAAGGCTATGAAGAAAAATTGGTTGAGCTGGTCTCGAAATACTGTACTGGAGATAAGTGGGGACTCTTCCATCTTCCACATTCTCAGAAATATTTTCACGGGAGAATTTGTCTTATGGGAGATGCTGCTCATGCAAGTACACCTCACTTAGGGGCTGGCTCTGGTATGGCATTTGAAGATGCTTATGTCTTGAGTCGTCTTTTTCAGGGTGTCAAGAATAAAGATGATATTCAAAAAGCACTCGAAGCTTATGATACGGTGAGAAGACCAAGGTCGCAAAAGCTAGTTGAATTTAGTAAGAAAGCCGGAGAACTGATCTCGTTTACGCATGATGACTTTGGAGATGATGTGAAAAGGATAGCTGACGAGATTGATTTTTTGTATGAATGGGTTTGGACATATGATCTTGAAGGGAGTTTGGTAACGGCGAAACAGCTTTCCGGTTTATTCTAGTCTCTTCTCCAATGACTGTGGATTACTGAGAGACTGCATCGGGCAACATGTAGAGAGGTAGCGAGGTAGCGTGCGTCTTTTTTGTCTCGGGGGCTGTCATGTGTTGAAGAGATCGTTCTCCTGCAGGAGAATTTAGAGGATTGACGGCATGGTTAGATACGGTTAACGAAATTTGAGATGATATTGATACCTGGCCGTTCTTAAATGGCTGAAGAGCGAATTCAGATGAGATAAATGCTGTTTGTAAATGCATGTTTGTACGCGAAGTGCATTTGCATGTATCCACAAATATACCTAGAAGGCTAGTACAACGACTACAATTCCGCGATCTACAGAGAATGGCGTGGCAGTCTGCCCTAAAGTCGTCCAACGGCCTCTCTATACGGAATCAGGCCCGATACAAGGGATGTACTTGTAAGATTTACAAATCATAGGCGAATGGGCTTGTGGGCTCCATATGGACGTAAAAAGTGGACGACCCCCATCATTCTGAGGAGACCAATCATACTTTATATTGGGAAAATCTTGTATTTCAATGATATCAAGACGTATTCGAATAGATTTCTATTATTAAGTATGAAACTGAAGATCGGAACTGATACGAGAATCACGTGCGGAAAGTGCTTGTGGTCATCAAACCTTATTATTCTTACAAAGGGGGAAAGGGGGAAGCAGCTAATGCATGAGATAATACCAGCTTACTTTTTCTTGGATCACTAATGCTTAGGAATGACGATGAATCCACACATCCTATCATTTCTTAATTACACTTCTAAAAGTCTAGAAGTAATAGAAAAGCTTTTGGGAACTTATCGAATCTACCCCCGCAATTTAATCTCACCGCTTGGATCAAATAGGTCTAATCTGTTACTAGATGATCCAGATAATCCATAGAAAAAAACTCTATTTACCACTATTCAGTATTCGTCCCGGCTATCATTCCCAGTCAGGCTCTTGGGTCCTTCATCTAACCGCTTCTAGGTATAGTAGAAGCGTAAATTCTCGGTTGTAAGTTTTCATGAAGCGTACCTCTAATAACTTCCACCTTTTCCAACCAGTAATGACAAATTCGAACCATTGTAATGGCCAACGTCGTTTGAATGAATGGCTTTGATGAATTCAACCAAAATCATCTTCCAACTTCAATCGCCGTGACCTAAGATGAAGAGATCCTCGCCGTCGACAGGTACATCGTTTCCGAGTTATCAATGTCAAATATGTTTATCTACATACTCCACAATCGGACATCTACGACGTCATGAAGCTGTGCGTAAGTTGATCCCCACCACTGCTATTTTCCGCGACGCGGGATATATTAACATTGCAACTCAAATAGACGCTGGACAGCGACTTTACGGGTGCCACTTTTGTGATCAACACTTTTTCAGATCGTGAGTTGCACAATTGAAAGAGCCAATATCATTCCTACTAATAAGATCTTAGAGATGCTGCTAGAAGACATTCAAAATCATGCCCGATCAGGGGTGGGAGGCCAATGCCTCAGCCAAGGCCAAGAGGAAAGCAAAAACAATCATGTGACTCTTGTGCGCGATCGAAACGAGCTTGTAATCAAGGACGCCCATGTGAAGGTTGTCAATTGAATAACATACCCTGCACCTATTATCGTTCGACGGGAAGCAAGGATGGCCCGCAACCTTTGCAAGCTATACAAGATCCAGGGTCTTCAATACAACCATTGCATGATACCGCACCAACACATTTTAATCCGGCCAGCAACAATGCGACAGCTTCTGGTATACCATCTCAAGATCCTAGGATGCAGTTTGATTTTCTTCTCCATTACACAAAGCCGGGAAGAGAGTCGCTTTTAGATTTTTTTGGCACCCCAATGACTAGCAGTATATCGACTCCAACCGTTTCTACCGCGATGTCTTCATCCCTTATGCCAAATTCCTCACTACTTGCTTTTCCCGGTGATTTGGAAGACCTCATGCAGAGCAATGCACTGCCAATACTAGATGATTTTGTCTGGGATGGTGAACTCAACACTCTTCCAATCAACTCGACCCTACGAAGCTCGTCTCAATTGGAAGGCCGGCTCCAGGAGCTTATATCAAAACTTTCTGTCACTCATCAAAGATTATCCGAGCTTTGTGATGGAGACTTGCCGCCATTTTCCGAAGAAATAAAAACCATTTTGTTCACTGTTCCTAATTTGATAGATTTTACTCGATTATTTTTTGATCATTGGTATCCTAATTGTCCAATCATACACCAACCTACTTATAACCTCGAGACAGTCTCGCTTCCATTGTTATTTGCCGTCTTCCTTATTGGCGCAGCGTATTCTTCACCTCGAGATACGGCTGGCTTAGCAAAGGAATGCGGTGCTTTATGTGAGGAATTTGTTTTCGAGAATGAAGAACTGAAAGAAATGCTTTGTTCGGAACAGTATAGTGAAAAATCGACTAATCTCCAAATTATCCAAGCAGCATTTCTTGTATCAGTGCTGCAAAATTGGCAAAATGGGCAACTCGCAAGGAAGAAAATGCGTAACAGACGATATTGTGATGTCGTCAATGGTGCGAGGGCACTGGGATATAACTCATCAAGAAACATGTACGCTACCGGTGTTTTCCCCTTCAATTGGCATGGTTATATCGAAGCAGAAGCAAGAGTTAGGTCAGCCACCTTGTTTCCACCATCTTCTTTTCGAAATGCTAAATATTAATCAGGATTATGACTTTGATATATCTTGTAGATTGTCATTATACTCTTTTCAATAGGTATCCACCCCGATTAACGATTGCCGAGATGGTCGGTGATATGCCATCCTCAGAAGAAGCATTTGCCGCTACAGATGCACTCGTCTGCGAAGGGTATTTGTTAGGGACAAACGAGCAACCTCGAGCCGCTCTGGCAACCTCGGTGGAGTGGCTAATGGGAGATGAATGGAATCCAGTTCATCATTATGGACTTACAACTCTCAATTTGTTCACGTTCCTTAATGGTAAACAAACTACCCAAGACTACCTACCCATATGAAACCTTCGCTAACTATGTAAGCATTAAATACAACAATCTTCCAACTTAAAGCGACGTCTCTTTGGGTCTATAACTCCGCTCGTATCGTCCAAGCTCTCGATAGATGGAAGATTCTTTGGGATAACTATTTAAAACAAGTCGGGCCAGATTTCACGAGATCTGGATTCTTTAAGAACTCTCTGGAATTCTGGCAGCTTACTAAGTTACTACTCAAAACAGAAGGAACCACGGGCCAAATAGGCCTCAGTGGAAAGGCCAAGATAGTTAGCGATTCGATGACAGAAATCAATGCCTTGATGGACAAATTTCAAGGGGTCACCATCTCTTGATTTTGATTCTCATACCTTACGAAGCCCTGGAAAATATACTATATAGTGCTAGGAATTTCTTCACGCCATAGTGGAAACTATACGAATTCACATCGATAGCCTGCAGAGAGCTCTCCTTACAAGATTGCCTCGACTGGAGGAATTAGATGAGGCAACTAAAAAGCTTAAGCCATAGGTTCTAACGCGCCCTTTCCACTAATCTCGATTTTGGTCATCTCCCGAACCAGACTCTGAGTTCCTCTAGTTTCAGTGGCTTCGACCCAATTACCATGTATTTGAGCTTTTATATGAAATGGCAATTCAACAATAGCGATTGCCTTTTCAAAATCTCTTGTATCAATCACAATCAGATTGCATCGATTGGCAATCCTTCTTTCGACCATTGCCATTACCCATCCATCCCCTTCCTTGGAATCCTTCGATCGGGGAATGAAAATCGGTTCTTGAACATGCGAGTCTTCCCCTGCATAGAAATATTTCGTTTCGCTTGTCTTATTACTATGCATCGCGAGACCATTTAGTCCCTGATATATGTTACTCTTCTCATCACTTTGTTCTGGAATGAAGACATCCAAGAACACCCATTCATATTCCTTCGTCATGAATCTCTCGTCAATTCTCGGAAATTCACATGGAATGTCCAAAACTACCAATGGATCCTGAATCTTAGTGCCACTCGGTTGACTCAAATCGAATTCCCAACGCGCGAAATCACCTTTCGTATCCGGACCCGGCATTCGTCTATCATCGGGTGGGAAGAATGGAAAGGCATTATCATGCACTCTCGAACTTTCCATGTATAATCTCCCATCCTTTCCTTCCCAGGCTCCAGCTGTATGAACCGGCATACAGTTGTTCCACTCATAATATCTGCTTTCTCCTTCCTTCCACCCATCCGGCAACGGCGTCGACTTTCTCCTAGGAACCACAATGAACGTAGCAGGTTTTTCATAATCCCATGCCCAATGCTGGCCCCCTTTCTTCATTCTCTCAATATCAGCTTCGAAACACCAACATACAAGTATTAGCCAATTCTCCGTAATGGCACAATCATGAATAAATGCACACCACGGACTCTTTACCCATAATTCTTCTACCTTCTTCCCTTGCGCATCAAGCGTATATGTAACTACATCCAGCGTGGCTAATCCCTTTGCCTCGTATCCAAACACAACAAGCTCATCCGTAAATGGATCCACCTTCGGATGGGCCGTAAAAGTCTTCGACTTCACTCCCTCGGAAGCAAAAGGATCATATCCCAAAGTCTCCAACGTATCACCATCAACTTCATAGGGCAACCCCACTTCCTTCAATGCCAACAGCTTGTCAGCCCACATGACTAAATTCGTATTCGCTGTACTATCTACCGCGGCTCTTACACATGGATGATGTGTATATGGATTTCGATATAATCCAAATAAAGCCTTGTTAGCCTTTCGTTCGAGTTTGTACCGTTCGGTCTCGATATACCGCATTTTCATATCGACGATACCGTTGTGGAAACGAAAGGCGGAGATATTGCCGTCACCATCGAGGGGTACATTCTGTGGGTGAGGTGGAACGAAAGGGTCACACATGACACGGTAAAATGTTCCATTTATCTCTGAGGGGATAGACCCGAGGACTACGAGATCGGCGACTTCACCTTCGAGACGGCAGGGGAGGTTGGAGCCTGCGAGGTCAATTGCTGTGGGCCATCTGGAGGTAAGATACTGAGGATTCCGGCTGTCTTGAGTGGTGGGAGTGTGAGAGGTTGTGGGCGGGGCAAGTTTGGAAGGAGGAGGAACGTTGGGAGCATCAAGGGAGAGAATTGTTGTGGATGACGGTGGGTCGTTTAGTATCGCCATTGTTTATGAGGTAATGTGTGTAGCAATGAGTGAACTGTCTGTTGATTATAAGAACGATGTGATAGGTAGTGTGGTAGATTAAAGTGTTTATATACTACAAACATAACGCACCCAGGGCATCAGCAGATATCATGACCCCAGACGGACTTTTCCCTCAATGCATGTATTTTATCAACAACCCGTATCATCCATGTAATCTTACATCTCCAGACCAAGCGAGTAATACACGCACCACTGACAGTGGTTCCACAGTCCGGCATCCCCATATATTTTCAGGAAAAGATAAAGTCCGTAACTGCCGCGAAACTTCACCCCCACCAAAAACACCAGAAGCGTTCTTGGCCTTCTCCCGCAAGCTAGCTCCAGAAGCTAACAGTAGCTGCCGAAGGGGCTTATATGTGGGTAAATGGCTTTTCGGATGATGGACATCATGCTACCAGATCTCAAAGGGCTCGAGACTGCACCGGGAATATCCCTCCTTACCCCATATTTACGGAGGGATAGTTTCTACCCACGTCTTCTGTCCGTGGGTAGTGCGATTGATGCATGTATAGCGTGTTACTACTGTCTCTCTTGATGAATTTATATTGAAAGTATTTCATTCATCCGGTATATGATTGGTCAATGCTTCAGAAGAGGAGCAATATTCTGGCGGATCCTTGCATTGGATTTGGTAATAGTCGGTATGACACTGTTCCGGTACAAAGTGCTAGCATTGAGGTTCAAAGAAGAATGATTTGCAGCACGCAAGTGGATTCTCTCGAGTTGACACAACACGTGAAGAACTCGGACTGGATAGACGTTATGAATGTTCTTGGAATATCCCTAAGTTTGAGCCCTAGGAGTTGAGGACCGGGAATTTCCCACCTGGGCGTGGGGGTTTACTGTTCGGACTTCTCGTACCTGCAAATATTTTGCTTGAAATGTTCAGAGATGATTATACATTGTACGTAACTCATCATGCTTTTGGGTAGTTCGGTAGTTCGACTTGCTAGGATTTTTTCTTCGTGGTGTGGCGTCAGCACTACAAAAAAGCGGAAAATTCAGGAGATCAAAATTATGTTCTCTTCAATATTGGATGTCAAGTCGAGTAATGAATAGTTCGAATTGCCACTGACTCAACATGTTTATGGGGTTTTAAGTCCATCATACACTTGATGCTTTCTACATTCGAATACAAATTGATATCATTATGAATTGTTGACATATAATTATCTTCAATCACAATTTTATTGACCCGCTGGACAGTGAAACTTCGGATCACTTTACTCGAAGTGCGAGCTTCCGAACTATGCAATGTTCAATCTGTCAAGCTTCGATCGAAGATTCTACGATATGTTTCCCATGCGGGAGCCTTTGTCATGAAAGATGGTACAAGCTTCTTTCCTGCTCCGTACTTTTTTTCAAAGATATTCAGTGCACGGAATAATCATAGGTTACGATCTTGCTCGGTATCTATAGTCGACATGGGGAAGGAACGACATTCATCAAGGACCCCATTGAAGTAGGGGATTGGAAGTGACAATATGGTATTCCAAAACAATCAAGTGATTAAGAACCTTTTGTCTTCCTCTTAATCCATCTTTATTCATCAAGTGTTCAAAAGGACGTTGCAATCATGCGAGTAGCTGCAAGATGCATCAATAGGTATCCCTATCTAACCATCCTTCTTATACTCTCAATTTGCTTCTATATCTTTTTTGTCTGTTCTTACGATTCCCCAGTCCATATCATCCTGGAGAAAATTCCAAAGCTTCGGCCTTCCAAAGCAACTGAAGACATTTTCAATTTCCTTCGCCTCGATTCCGCAGCTCTTCGAGCTTTATGCGAGAAGACGGAATGGAATCCGGACAAAGTTATCTTTACATGCGATAATTCCATCGGCGGAGTTGGGGACATACGTAACTCGATACTGAACTGTGTACGGTATGCGATATCCGCGGGTGCCGGTCTAGTAATCCCTCGAATTATTCTTCAAAACCCGGATGATATCTCGCAGATTCGAACTGGTGAAAGAGTTAGTATGGCCTATATGTTTGACTACTTTCATTTCGTCGATTCGCTCAAATATTCTTGTCCGCAAATGGTCATATATGGATACATAGATGACGTTTCAAATTCGAACGAGGGAAGAGGTCCTATTACACTATTGCCAGAAAGTTTATACTCTTCTCCGATTCCGAAAACAGGACTAGAGCATCCGGAGAAATGGGGAGAATTGTTTGAGGAATGGTTGGACGGTTATTACTATTTTGCGACGAATGAGACGATGAATATGCCGGTAACGGTTGAGCTTGGGAGATCGTATCTGCAATATCCGATATATTCTGACGGAGAGGAATTCGCACTTTCTTTTGGTGGGATATTGAAGTTCCGCGATAATTTGAGGATTCTTGCTACTACTGTTTTGCAGAATATGTTATCCACATATAACATGTCTGGAGATCTTTCGCAGCCGTTCCTCCCTGATACATTTTTCGGTGCGCATCTCAGGACAGAGATTGATGCTACGAAATCTTGGCCGGCTAAGGATTGGCTTTATCAACGTTATGAATTCCAATCGATACAATACCTGAAGAAATTGGCCTCTACAGACCTCACCCTAATTTATGTAGCATCAGGCAACGAAACCGAAACCGCCCAGTTTGCACGAGACGCAGCTGCATACAATGTAACTACAAAATGGAAGCTACTCGATGCTAAAGATAGGGAACTATTGAGCAAATTATCATGGGATCAACAAGCGATAGTAGATTTTCTCGTTTTGACGAAAAGCTCGAAGTTCGTCGGAATAGGCCATTCGAGTTTCACGTGGAATATCGCGTTACAGAGACATCAATTTTTGGAGAATAAGAAAGATTACTTGGATGGACCGGAGTTGTTAAGTGATAAGTTGAGTACAGTGTTTGGGGAGACAGGGGGACATCCGGAATACGCAGCTTGTCTGTGGCCTTGATTTGGGAGTATTGATTAGGAGTTGTGAAAAGCACTGTGTTAGTCCCTGGAGTTAGGTTTGGTATGAGTGGATAAATATGCATTTTTGTTTTCTTGACTCAGAGTACACATAGATGTAGCGTTGAAGAATTACTGAAGCGGACTTTAAATTCATACAAGAATAGCTGTGATGTGAAGATTCCAGCCAATAGCCTCGAAGTTTGGTTGCATCATTACACTATGAGAAGCCTGGTGTAAAGGTTGTATGATACTGCTGTGGATGTGAAAAGATCATGACCTTAAAACTCGATGCATTGGAGAAACGAGAGATGAAATGCTTCCCAAAAGACTAAAGTTTGAGATCTGAAAGGTATAATTTAATGAATCGGTCAAATAAAAGCTGAATGGTCAGAAAAGTATTGGGAGCTTCGCATATGAATCACATTAAAACATCAAAGACGCAGACATAGAGCAAGATCGTCATATTAGAAGCTATAATAGGTAAAGCTACTATAAGGAATGCCCAAAAACAAAAGATGTGTAAATACAATGAGTGTAACGGTCGCAAATCGCCTATTTTCAATACCCCTTTTTGTTCCTCTATGTGGAACTCCGATTGCGCCAGAACTCCCCGAGTCCTCCGCAAACACTCATGTCTATTTTTGTGATCTATCCTGCTGAAAGTCAAGAATATGTGAAAGAATGTGAATGACGCACTACGTCGATGTCAAGGAAATGTTATTTTGTACAAGTGAGAAATCTTTCCAGGGACAAATTTCTCTATTGCTGCTGGAATGGTCGATGCAATTACTATTGGAATTCGCGGTTTCATCGGGGCACATCGGTCTTTTTTGTGTCCACGATGCTCCTCACAGGATCGTAGAATCCTTGGGCTTTCTTTCCCTTTCCATCACCACTGGAACTGCCGCCTGCTTGTTGACTTCATTCATTCTCCCGCTGCCTCTGACCTTCCTCCATTTGGCGTGCATGATCCATGTCTCTACTAATCTGCGCAGGGAACTTACCAGATTTGATATCGTCATGTCTGGTTTTAGGATCAAAGTGGACGCTGCTTTCTATCTTTGTAAAATCATGGTGACCTTCTGGATCCAATGCTTTTCCATTTTCGTCATACTGCTGATGTGGCATGTTGTATGTTCGAGGGAGCAAGTTGTCTTGAAGTAGGCTTTATACTTTGACGATGAGGGGTAACAAGATGTATTATGAGCTCGTGTAGTGAGTTGGTGGAAATGTGGATCGATGTATGCCCTGTGATGGCAAAGTTAATATTCTGGACGAAGAGAAATTCAATATAAACCCCCATACAAATTTCTATTTCGTACATTACAATATTGATATATATATTCGTTAATAATGAATAAAGCTTTTCATTATTAACAAATCAAATCGGTTCTTTTTGCGACCCGTTTATTATTGAATTTCAATAGGAAAAAAGAAAATAAGGGCTTTATATAGTCTTATTGCTTTTGAAGATTAGAGTTGAAGATAAGGTGGACAAAGAGGTGCAAGTATAAGAGCTAGAAAGAGAAGGGGAGCGAGTGTAGGAGCTAGAGGGTGGATAAAAAGCATTAGCTGAAAGTTTAAAGGGGAATAGACTTTTTTGGAAGTATATCACTTTCAATTTATTCTTCAATCACAAGCTTTACTATTATACTACAAATACATAATGTATTAAATAAGCAAGAATTTGATTTGTTTCTAATCTTTATATGAATAAATTCGAATTCAATAAAAAATTCAAGATAAAAGTATAATAGAAAGATTAGTAATTCTTAATAGATTCTAATTGAAACACTTAAAAGAACTTTTCTATTATTTTATTGAAATCTAATAGGAAATCAATTTAGAAGAAAAAGAAGAGGAAGAGAGAGAGGGGTTAAAAAGCAAATAAAATCTAGAAGCTTTCTACTTGACAGATAATTGTTGCTTCAAGCCGAAACTTTCAATTAACCTTCCAGAATTCAAGAAATTCACTAAGAACTTATTGATTAGAATAAGCTTCGTAAGGTATAGAGACTTAGATTGATCATATTAATACTTTAAAAACGATTTATTCAATATATAACAAAGGTATTGTAGAATTTATGGCAATTACGAAAGGATCACTTCGTCAACCACGGATTCTGCCACCACAGGGATGTAGAATGTCGGTATGTGTAAATGGAGAGTAAGTAGATATGGGTTGATGAAGGTATCTGAAGGTAGATAGATGAAGAGGTACTTTGTGTTTGAAATGCGTAAAGTTTGATTCTTTGGTGAAGGTAGGTTTCGTGATCGAGATGTTGTTGGTTGATGAAGAGAAAAGAAAAAGAAAAGGTTGAAGCAAAGGAGAAACCCCGACCTATTTGAGCACAATTGGTGAGGCTCTCAAGGCATCGATCTTCAGAATGGATCACCATTTGGTAGTCATTTCAAGGTCAAATATATCAAATAGTGCTGTGAATTCTATGAACATTACGACTTGAGGAGATAATAGAGTCAATTGAGGGATTTTGTCACTTAAACCTGACTTCTCATGATTCAGAATGCTGATAAGTATGTTCTGGACTCATACTAACATCCACCGTTGACCAATGAGACTTTTCATACATCACAGTGGTGAGTAATTCCAAGATGACAGTCATTCATAAGGTAAAATGTGTTGAATAAAACAGAATATTCATTGAATGGTATGATTTGAGCGGAAAAATGTAATTCTTTGGCGACTGATATCTTGAAATAATGATTCGAAAGTTGATGAGGGGTGGGTATTGGAGTCATGTAACAGATTTCTTAGCTATCCATTCACAGATAGTATTCGTTTCGGAAGTCAGATTCATAAAATATGACATCGTACTAAATGAATATTGTAATATGGACAGAGAACAGAGTCACCTACGGGATTTCAGTTGTCGGCATTTCGAGTAAATGAGTCGAAAACCAATAAGTGTCCAAATGTGTGTTCATACCTCTTAATTATTTATTGAACAAGAATCTAGAGATAATTCACGGAGAAAGTAACAGTCATCAGTTAGTTTCTAACGATTCAGAACATCGAGGTTGGGCATTTTCAAAGCTTGGTCAACCTCTTCATAGTGGATAATATAACAAGAAGTTTCACTGCAAATTGGTTGGGCATGAGAGAATAGTTAAATACTAATCATTATTTGGTGATGGCTTTAGGGGTGCATCTTCAAAATCAATTGTAGGAAGAAATTTGAATAATCTCCAAACTAATCGGTAGGGACAAATGAAAGCGAAGACTTTACAACTTTACTCTTCATACATAGGAAAATGATGGAAAGTCCCTTGAAAACATACGAATACGATAACAATGAGACCTTACACCGCAAAGAATATAGTCTAGAGTGCATTTCATCGAACATAATATAAGTCTGCCGTATACAGCGCTTGGAGATTGAACATTTGGACCTACAATGCACCATATTCCATGTTGTTTGTGTCAACCATTGTAATGAAAACAAGACAACACAAACTCTTAGCACCAAGATGCTTGGTTTCGCACGGATTATAAGGGCTTCCATGCAGAGAGCAGCCCGCGAAGATTTGATAGAATCAGCGAGAAAGCAGGGAATTTTTTCTTCTCAAAAGCCGCGTCAAGCACACGGACGGTAAAGAATGTGAATCTTTCAATCACGGTTTGATGAACTGATCGATATAGGATTCAATAACGATCAGGCAAACTCGCCAGATGCTTCAAAGGAAATAGAAATTCTGGACTTTGAGATGTGGCAACTAGAGGGACTCCATACCCGATTTGGCGATCAACATAGCCGAGTCTTAGGTTGCTTGAATCTTTTGTGAAGAGCAAGAGAATTTAATGGATAAAATCAAACACACTTGATGTGACCCCGAGCCGCTTGAGAAAAGAAAGAAATCTAATTTTGGCTGTGCCATTGCGAGGCCATTAGCGAAAGCACGGGCAAAGTACAGGTGGACAGTGTAATGAGCTTCTTGAACATAGAGAACCAGTGAAAATAAGTACAGACGACGCCAAGAAGCCGAATGATTAAAGCAGAAAGACGAGGCAGATGGATTGATGAGTACCAGCACTACTGGTCATGATATCGTATGGTCTGAGGTAGAGACCATTGGCATGAATTCTATGCTACTTCAGGAAATAGAGTCAGAGGAACAAAACCTTAGAGAGAAGACTGCTGAAGTTGATCGAAATAACGATGGTGATGTTTGTGAAGGATCTAGAAACCAAGTAAGTGGCTGATAACTATTAGTCTGAAGCTGCTTCTGTGGCTTGCATTGACGCGTTGTGGCGGACGGTGTTGAGGTTACTCCGTACACCGAGCCGGTATGCCGAGGTACCGATATCGATATCGGATGTCGGTTAGAATGATTAAGATTAACATCTTTGATTGGACAATAATAAATTATATTTCTTTTTTTTTTCTTCTCAATTTTTCCTTCTTACTTTCCAAGCATGCAGGTTGGTCTCTAGGTGTCTCTGGGCAATATTCCATTTTCATTTTCATCCCGTGTTTGTCTGGATTTTGCCGCATATTCCCCGTCCTTTACTCTCCTTCCATATTTGGCAATTCTATGACTGGGCCTTTCAACATCGCTTTGCGAATTTTCGATGGAGATCCTGTTTCGTAGTCGGTTTCGGTTCTTCATATATCGACATGGCCTGGTCTACCTGGTCTACCTGGCCTACTCTATCTGTCTATCTGTCTAATGTCTCTTCTACTCTTCTACTCTTCTTGTTTCAGTCTATCTCTCTGTACATACCGATTTTGTAATCCTTTTTGTGTTTACCATTCTACACAAGAATTCAACTACATCTATCAAAATTTCGTTTATTAATTAATATCTAATCGTCATCGTGTTTACCTTTAGCCGTGATATTTGCCTGCATCGCACTCAACACAGCCTTCTTTCATTCTTGCTTGGCCTCTTGGACCCCTTGGCCTTGACACGACGATTGATCACACAGTACAAGAACGCCTACATTCTTTTGTCAGTGACGAGATAAAGTCGACTTCTCCCGACCATTACCCTTAATATAATACAGTTCAAATTCAATATATCCCTTCGACGATCATCGTACACATACAGGCATGCGCTCGAGTATATCTATCTAATTCCTCAACGAAAAGGCCCCAGTCGCTACCATGGGACTACTCCGCCAAGTTAGAACTTTGACTGGAAAGAATCTCCTTATCACGGTCAATCGACATGCCTTTAGCACGTCCATACGCACATTCATCCTACCAGTGGCCTTGATCGTATTTCTTAGTTATGCCAGGAATTTATTCATACCACCTTCAACTTACGGGATTGGCTCTAGCCAGCCCATTCGAACTTTAGAAGAAGGGCTCCGGGCTGCGACAGGTGGACGAAATACTTTAGCATTTGTTAACAATGGTTTAATAGGAGGGGATGTTGATGATGTTATTGCTGATTTAACTTCGCAGGCTGAAGTTGCTGGGGCAAAGGTGAAACGTTTGACGACTGAGGCTGAACTACTGGATATTTGCAAAAGTAGTCTAAGGGGAGCAACATCTTGTTATGGTGCCATTGTTTTCAATTCTTCGCCCTCAGAAGGAACAGGAGGAATATGGAACTATACCATGCGAGCAGATGGCGCGTTCGGCACCCAGATTGATGTGACGACAGATAAAAACGATGCCGAACTCTTCCTTTTGCCACTGCAGCGTGCTGTTGATTATGCAATTGCTTCGAGAAATACAACAATCGATCAGAATGCGTTGCCCACTACCGTTAACGAATATCCGTATACTAGCCAGACTCAGAAGCAACGCGAAACTGCAATTCGGACAAATTACCAAACTGCTATCATCAATATCCTTGGAGTTGCTTTCTTGATTGGTATGGTTGGTGTTACATATCATTTGACTGGATTCATTGCCTCTGAGAGAGAGCTTGGAATGTCACAACTTCTAGAAGCTATGATGCCGAACCTACGGAGGTGGGAACCTCAAGTAGCTAGGATACTTTCATATCATCTAGCCTTTGATATCATTTACATACCAGGATGGATCATCATGGGTGTGGTTCTAGGAGTAGGAGTCTTTGCCCAAACCTCCATGGCTATTGTGATTATATTTCATGTTCTGGCCGGCTTATCCTTAACATCATTCTCTATCCTTGGTGCTGCTTTTTTCAAGAAAGCCCAGCTTAGTGGAATTACTCTTGCAATTGTCACACTCCTACTCGGTGTCCTTACTCAAGTCATAGATAAGACAAACTCGGGGACTGTGGCAATCCTGAGTTTACTTTTCGCTCCATGTAATTATGTATTTTTCCTTGTTTTCATGGCTCGATTTGAAAGGCAAAATATTGGCGCCAACCTTGTACAAGCTGCGCCAAACAATCCATGGTCACTGCCGGGAATTGCCCTATGGGTATTCTTGATCATTCAGATATTTGTTTATCCAATCATTGGGGCTTTAGTCGAACGTTCCCTTTTCGGAACAACTTCCAAGGGTCGTTCAGTTGTTGGTCAAGGCTCGGAAAAGCATGCACAATCACTTGGGTCTAACACATTGGAAACCGTTCGATTGGAGAACTTCACAAAACATTACCGTCCCAATTGGTTTCGAATGAAGACAGCTGGATTTACCAAGATCCCCACAGCTACTGTCGTCGCTGTCAACGATTTGAGTTTGACTGCAAGTAAAGGTCAAATTCTTGTCCTTCTAGGTGCTAACGGATCTGGAAAGAGTACTACCTTGGATGCAATCGCAGGATTGAATACCGTTACTAGTGGGAATATCACAGTCGATGGAACAGGAGGATTGGGTATTGCTCCACAGAAGAATGTGCTATGGAATGAACTTACAGTAGAGGAGCATATTCGTATCTTCAATAGCCTCAAATCCACAGGACCTCGGGACAACAAAGCAGCTCTCAAAGAGTTGATCAAAGCTATTGACTTGGACCGAAAGATCGGCGCAAAATCGAAAACTCTATCTGGTGGTCAAAAGCGGAAACTTCAATTAGGAATGATGTTTACTGGTGGAAGTTCGGTATGTTGTGTGGACGAAGTAAGTAGTGGGTTGGATCCTTTAAGTAGAAGAAAGATCTGGGATATTCTTCTGGCCGAAAGAGGTTCACGAACTATTATTTTGACGACACATTTCCTTGATGAGGCAGATCTTCTCGCCGACCGTATCGCAATATTGTCCAAAGGCACACTTCGAGCGGAAGGTTCTTCTGTGGAATTGAAGGAGAAGTTAGGTGGCGGTTATCGCATCAATCTTCCTACTGGTCACGAACACAAAGAGCCTCCTCAGGTTGGGGGCATAAAGCAGCACGTGTCGTTCGGCCAAACGACTTATGTAGCACCAACCTCCAAGCAAGCCGCTCAGATCATTAAGCGTCTCGAGGAAGATGGCATCACAGATTATCAATTATCTGGACCAACGATTGAAGATGTATTTTTACAATTAGCCGACGAGATTCGTGCCGAAAGCGACGAAAGTCTACTCATCCAAAACTTATCATCTGACAATGAGCAATCTGGAAAAGAAAAGGATACTGTTACAAAACTCGCAATGGTTGGTACCCACGAGCGTCAAGCGTTGGAACTACATACCGGGCAAAATATTGGCTTCTTCCGGCAAGCCTGGGTTCTATTCAGAAAAAGACTGACTGTTCTTCGACGAAATTACCTGCCTTACATTGCAGCTCTCCTTGTACCAATCATTGCAGCCGGTCTCGTAACTCTTTTCCTACAAGGTTATAATGGTGCCGGCTGTACTCCAACCGACAGAGTTTCTATTTCTGATTCAGAAAATCTCTTCAGTGTTGAGAAGTATGATGTTGTTATCGGACCGTCTTCAAGGTTTTCGACAGAAGTAATTACTTCTTTGTTTGAACCTTTATTGTTTGGATTGCTGCCTACGCCTGATGAAATCCAAAGTCACACTCATAGAGTCGACACATTGACTCAATTCAACAGCTACATTGATCAAAATTTCGCCAATGTCACTCCATCAGGATTTTTCCTTGATAACGGTGGTTCACAAACCACACTCGCGTATAAAGGCAACGGTCAGATATTTAATGCTGTATGGGGTCAAAATGTCATGGACATCATGCTCACTAATATATCTATTGCCACACAATATTCTGAATTTGATATTCCATGGGCACCCTCCACCGGTAAATCATTACAACTTGTCGTCTATTTTGGTCTTGCAATGTCTGCGTATCCAGGATTCTTCTCATTGTACCCTACCGTCGAAAGAACCAGGAATATTCGAAGTCTTCAGTATTCCAATGGTGTTCGGTCATTACCATTATGGCTTTCGTACGTTGCTTTTGATCTCATACTCGTTCTCATCTCGAGTGCTTTGAGTGTCATAATCTTTGCAGCTGCATCTTCAGTTTGGTATCATGTCGGCTATTTATTTATCATATTCGTTCTGTTCGGTCTGGCATCGATCTTATTATCATACGTGGTGTCACTTTTTGCCACCACGCAACTTTCAGCATTTGCATTCGCAGCTGCTGGGCAAGCGGTCATGTTCCTAATCTATCTAGTTGGTTACTTGTGTACTTTGACCTATGCTCCAATCAACAAGATAGATTCAACGCTTCTCGTTGTTCATTTCGTTATCAGTATTTTCACACCAATGGGAAGTCTTATCCGAGCAATGTTCATCGCATTGAATCTGTTTTCTACCACTTGCTCTGGCGAAGAATTGGCACCTTACCCGGGAGGAATCCTGCAATATGGTGGGCCGATTTTATATTTGATCCTTCAGATAATTGCACTCTTCGCAATTCTGATATGGTATGACAGTGGCTCTGTAGTTGCTTGG